CACCGGCTTGAACACAAGTTGCCCAGCGTGCGTGGTGGGGATGCGGGGACTTCAAGCGCCGCACGGCTGAGAGGGGGCATGATGGTGGTGAGCCTTGAGGCCTCCTTCTCCCTGGGGTGGCAGCAGCTGTCGGAGGAGGGAGGGCCAGCCCGAGTCTCACTGGTGCAGGGCACAGGGCACAGGACGCCAACCTTTCCCTTCCTGGGGTGGGGCCTGCCTGCATCCCCTGCTTTATGGTCCACCCAGGTTCATGCTGATTGGACAGGCTAGGATTCAGGGCCCACCTCTGGGCCTATCACAGGTCCAGGGGCCTGCACTGCACTGATTGGCTGATGCCTGTGTCACGTGCTCTACCTCAAGGTAAATAAAATGTGGTGTTGGGGGTTGATGAAAGATTGGAGTATGGGTCCTGGGGGATAGAGAGCCCCCCAAAGTAAAGACTTCCCTCAAGAGGGCGCTGGCTGGGGAAGAGAAGGGCAGGCGCAGTGTCCCGTCGGTTGAGGGCCAAGTGCTGCCAGACCCACTCAGGAGTGGGGACTCTAGGCCAAGAGGAACATGCCTTTTCTTGGCATGGCAAGGAAGTGTCAGGAAGTGAGGCTGGAAGAAAGTGTCAGGAAGTGAGGCTGGGCTGGAAGAGGACGTTCAGGCAGGACGGGAACACCTGGGGGGAGGACCAGGACCAAGACCAGCCGCAGACACCTTCACATAAATGCATGGGCACCCTTCCACCACCCAGTGTGTTGTTAGACCAGTCAGCTGTGACTCACGGTGGCCTTGTGTATAACAGAACAAAACGTTGCCCAGTCCTGGGTCGGCTTCATGATGGTTGGTATGTTTGAATCCTTGTTGCAGCCACTGTGTCAATCCACCTCATGGAGGATTCCCCTCATCTTCATTGATTCTCTACTTTACCAACCATGAGGTCCTTCTCTAGCCACTGGTGTTTCCTGATGACATGTGCAAAGTAAGTAGCCCAAGTCTCGCCATCCTTGCTTCTAAGGAGCATTCTGGCTGTACTTCTTCCAAGACAGATTTGTTCATTCTTCTGGCAGTCCATGGTACATTCAATATTCCTCACCAACACCATAATGTAATTGCATCAATTCTTCTTTTTCATTGTCCAGCTTTCCCATGCATATGAGGAGATTGAAAATGACATGGCTTGGGTCAGGCGCATCTTAGTCATCAAAGTGTCATCTTTGCTTTTTAAAACTTTGAAGAGATGTTTTACAGCAGATTTGCCCAATGCAATACATCATTTGATTTCTTGACTACTGGTTCCATGGACATTGATTGTTGATCCAAGAAGAACGACATCATGGACAACTTCAATTTTTTCTCCCCCACCCCCCTGGAATGGCTGGGTTCAAATCCCAGTTTGGTTGCTTGGAGAGTTGTTACTTTGGTCAAATTACTTAGCCCCTCTGTGCCTGCGTTTTCCCATCTGTGAAGTGGGGCTAGTCCTAACCCTTTCCTCATAAAGCAGTTATTAAGTTAATACGTGTTAGTATGTCGGTATTACAAATTAATACACATAAAGCGCCCCCACTGGGCTGGCACAAAGGGTACTGAGACACATGAAAAAACAGAAGGCACCTCAGGAGGTTTCCTGCGGTTGAGGGAAGGATTTAACCTTTCTCCTTGACCATGACTGTTTCTCAGGCAGCCGGGCCACGTGGCTCGTTTTGCGGGTGTGGAGAGTAAAGCATGTCTGGAAGGATATAGAGATGCCATCTGGGAACCAAGCAGGAATTGCATCCTTGCAGATGTGGGGATCAGAACACCCATGGTGCCAGATGGGAAAGCAAGAAGCACTTCCCTGAACACTTGGAGACCTAGGCTTCCTTCTGGCACCTTGTGGCCACAATCCCTTGGGGTCCAGCACAGCAACATGTCTTTGACAACACAGGTGTTCAGTTGACTCCTGGGGCTTGACCGGCTCCTGGTCCGAGGAAACTGACCTTTCCTCTAGGGTCTCCTAGGGCAGCTGTAACAAAGTACCATGACTTGGGGGCTTTAAAACACCAGAAATTTATTCCCTCACAGCTCTGGAGGCCAGTAGCCTGAAGTCAGTTATCAAAGTGTTAGCAGGGAGGGAGTGCCCCCTCCGAAGGCTTGGGGAGGATCCTTTCTCTCCAGTGTCTGGTGACCCCAGGCATTCCTTGGCTTGTGGCTGCATCACTCCAATCTCTGCCTCTATCCTCACATGGCCTGCTCTTCTCTTGTGTGTCTAATTTCCCTCTTATAAGAACATTTGTGAAGGCATTTAAGGCCCACCTGGACAATCCAGGATAATCTCCTCATCTCAATATCCTTAATGTAATCAGTCCTTTCTTCCCATAGAAGGTCATATTCAGAGGTTCCAGGGATGAGGATATGGCTATCTTTGGGGGCCTATTCAACCTCCCCAGGACATCCACAAAGGGAGCCCCCGCAGGGGGGATTAGAATATGTACAGGGAGGATCTCGAGGTGGTGAGGGTGACAATGTCTGCATGTTTGAGGAGAATTGAGGATGTAAAGTGAGTTTGGAGTGGCAAAAAGACCCCAACAACTTAGACACAGCCTGTGCTGATGGGAAATGGACATGATTTATGCAGGGCTCAAGGTGCTGGTTACCTTGTGGGAAGCAGCCGTGATCACAGATGTGTCAGAGAACACAGATGTCCCCACGCCCCGCCCAGCCCACCTCTGCTAGCCAGCTTGGCGTCGGAGCACTTGGTTTTCTTTGTGCTTGGATACTCTTTCTTTCCTCCTCTGTGTTTTATGAACATTCCATGACCTTGGTTTCATTTCATATCTCGCTAAATTAAATTAGCCTCTGGACACAGATCTGTGACCCGAGACTCCAGCACAGTCCTCCGTCCACCAAAGAGACAAGAGGCATCAAGTCATGGCGATTCAAGTGAAGATTTCTCTGCTACTTCAGGATATTAAAAAACAACTTCAAAAGGTCAAATTTTTACCCCACCCTTCCTCCATGAGCCCTGGTGGCACAGTGGTTAAGAGCTCGGCTGCTAACCAAAAGGTTGAATCCACCGGCCGCTCCTTGGAAACCTTATGGGGCAGTTCTACTCTGTCCTATAGGGTCGTTATGAGTTGGAATCGACTTGAGGGCAACGGGTTTTGTTTTTTCCTTCCACGAAGCATTTTACATACCATTTCCGGCCACTAGTAAACAAAAAAAATCAGTTGCCATTGAGTTGCCCCCGACTCATGGCGGCCCCATGTGTGTCAGGGTAGAACTGTACTCCACGGGGTTTCCAGTGACTGATTTTTCCCAAGTAGGTTGCCAGGCCTTTCTTCTGAGGTGACTCTGGGTGATCTGGGACCTCCAACCTTTCCGTTAGCAGCCAAGCGAGTTCACCATTTGTACCACCCAGGGATTCTATTACTGGCCACAAAGGTTCCCAAATCCCAGGATGATTTGAGTCAGTTTACTTATCTAAATCTAGATCCCTTGGGGGAGTTTTGAAAGATTTCTTGAGGATTCATTACATGTGGTTTGAGACCAGCTTAATTCAGTGCTCTCTGGTGTTGGTGGGCTTGTCCTCAGCTCTTCTCCCACTAAATCTTATTCAAACTGCTGAGGGAGAAAGGGGTCCTGCTTTTTCTGCAAGCATTTCTGTCATGGATTGAATTGTGTCCTCAAAAAATATCTGTGAACTTGGCTGAGTCATGATTCTCAGTGTTGTATGATTCTGTAATCTGATGTGATTTCCTTATGTGTTGTAAACTCTATCACTATAATGTAATAAGATGGATTAGCGGTAGTTGTATTAATGAGGTCTACAAGATTAATAGTGTCTTAAGCCAATCTCTTTTGAGATATAAAAGAAGCGAGCAGAGACACATGGGAACCTCATACCACCAAAAAAAGCAGTGCCGGGAGCAGAGCACTTCCTCTGGACCTGAGGTTCCTGCTCAGAGAAACTTCCAGACCAAGGGAAGATTGATGACACAGACCTTCCTCCAGAGATGACAGAGAAAGAGAGCCTTCCCCTGGAGCTGACACCCTGAATTTGGACTCGGAGCCTACTGCACTGTGAGAGAATAAACTTCTCTTTGTTAAAGCCATCCGCTTGTGGTATTTCTGTCAGAGCAGCACTAGATGACTAAGACAATTTCCTTCTGGGGCTAAGAAGTATCAAGAGGTTACAAACTCAGCATGTGGGTCTGGCCTTGGCCTTGGGACTATGTTGGAAAAAAAAAAAAAAGTTGCCTTTGAGTAACAACCCTATGTGTATCAGAGTAGAACTCTGCTGCATAGGGTTTCCAACGGCTGATTTTTCAGAAGATTGCCAGGCCTTTCTTCTGAGGCACCTCTGGGTAGACTCAAACCTCCAACCTTTCAGTTAACAGCTGAGTGCGTTAACTCTTTGCGCCACTCTGGAACTCCTCTGGGCTATCTCTTCGGTCAGTTTCTCCTTTGCTTACATAGTTTGATAGTCTCCACTTTGCAGAGGTTTGCAATATTTCATCTGGCTACGATCAGGGAGAGTGAATTTTACTATCAAAGCACGTAGTGGTCAGGTCATGCAGGACCACAGAATGCGTGCAACAAGCTCTTAGAAACGTGTCCTCCCCTCCCGCACCCCGTCTTCCTCACACACCCTCCCGGCGTCCCACAGAATAAACTACATGCCTTGTGCTTATACATCAAACACCAAGAAATGGCCGGTAACTATTTTATAGTAAATATATTTTTAATTTTTAACTGGAATACAGCAGTGCGTGGGGGAAGTACCATGTGCAATAGGACCTCAGGATCTTGCACGTCATCCCCCAGAGTTTCGTCCCAACCCACACACACAATGGGGAGCGGGGACCCTGCTTTTCATGACCAAACGGAAGACAGATGTGTGGCAACCCTGAGAAAGCAAAAGTCCAGCAAATAAAATACTCATCTGAAGAGGAAGAAAAAAAAAGACAATACAAGGAAAGTTGTCTTGGTTCTAGGAAAAGTCTTTTTTTTTTTTTTTTTACGGTATAATGACTCATTTATAAAGAGGAAGTGAGTTCTTTTGAAAAATACTTGAAATATTCTCGAAGGGGGAGAAAGCAGTTCTTCACCAGCGCGGCAGGGGCCGGGGCGGGGAGCCTGGCTCTGGGCCTGTCCTGAACCAGCAGGGACAGTTCCACTTCAGCAGTGAGAGCCGAGTCCTTGCTGCAAAGGAGAGAAGGACACACATTATCCCCCGCCCACGTGGGCCCCCTGGAGCGGGTGCAGCCACAGGGAGGGTGGGGTGGGAGGGGTGATGCATGGTGCTGGGGTCACAGTCGGCTCTCAATACATGTACACTAGAGAGCAAGGGGACTAGGGCAGCCTTCTAGAATGATCCAGAATGATTCAGAAGGCTCTAAGATAAACTTCTTGATAAGATCCATCTTTTGTGAGCTGTCCACAAAATGATGGGATAACAATATGTCACAGGATGAGGGGGCAGGGGCACCCAGGCTGCCTACCCCCTTTGGGTGAGAAGCAGGTGGGGGAGGGGGCCAAGTAGGGTCAGACCAACAAAGATCAGCCCAGCGCAGGAGCCCCACTTTCTGTGTAAGAAGCAGATCTGGAAGCTGCCCTGAGCAGGATATGGGGCCCTCCCAGGGCGGGTCTTCACCAAACAACAGAACACATCCTGAGGGCACTGGGGTCAGATGGCACGGCTGTGGAACCCGAGGCTCGCTGCCAGGACTCCTGATATACAGAGCCCGCCTGATGCTGTGCGTCCCTGGGGTCCCGTAGCTGCTGTGCTGGAAGCAGGTGGGTGGGGGGAGGACGAGACTCTGGCCTTTGGTTCCACAATCCAGTGCCCAGCATCCGCTTTGCGTGCCAGGGCATCTGACTGGGGTCAGAATGTTTCTTGGTTTACTTGGGGGTTCCAAATCAGGCACCCCTCCTGGTCCTCGCCCCTGACCCCTCCCTCCCGGGCAGCTTGGGGGCTGTCCTTGGCCCTCTGAGGGGCGGCGGTGGCCGTGGACTGCTGCATGTGCTTCTTGATCCCCACTAGTAAGGGGACACCACCAGCCTGAGAGGGGAGACATCTGGGAGAAGAGGCAGCTTCCGCTTCACTTCTGGGAACCAGGTGGTCCCGAAAGTGTGGTTCAGGGGTACCCCCCCCCCAGTGAAGGCGGGAGCCTGCTGGGGTCTCTGCTGTGAGGCCTTGTCAGAAACTGGGTGGGTTTGGGGTAGGGGAGAGGAGGTAGCAGCCAGTCCTGCTGAGACTTGGGGGGGACCCTCTCTACAGCTTGGGGGAGGGGAGGGAGACACTTTTTTTTAAATCAGATTTTACTGGAGCTCACCCCCCAGTCGTTACTTCTCAGAGGTGTTATTTTCCTGTTAAATAAGTGGGCTCCATGGGGAAGGGGATCTGCCAGGGTTGGGGAGCGGGTGAGGCGCTGGAATGGGCTCCGCAGGCAGGAGTTTCTGTGCTGAGACCCCACGTACCTCCTTCTCCTCACCTGCCCACCTTGCCCAGATCCTGGAGGAGAGGACTGTGAAGCGGGCAGCAAGAGGAGGAGGAGGGAAAGAGAGAGTGTGTGTGGGTGTGGGTGTGTGGCACAGGGGATGACCTAAGACTTCCAGAAGCAACACATTTTGGAAAGCTGCTTCACCGTAGCCACACCCAGATGCACATCCGGGGTGGTGCCGGGCTCAGGGTATCACAGCATCACTAGGCCATGGCAGAAGCTCCGGCCATGGGATCCCGAAATGGCCACGAGCCAGGAGGGCACCAGGGTTATGGAGGTTTGGTTGGGGAGGTGGGGTGGGAAGACGTTTCCAGAAACCCACACTCTCAGGCTGGGGAAGATGCCACTCGGCTGTCCCAGAAAATGCACTCAGCATTCATTCTGCACAAATCCACATGCCAGGAGCACCTGGGCCATCTCCTCAGGGGCTCCAGGCTTCTCAGAGGACAGGTGGGCAGGTGGAGGTGGGGATGCGGGCAGTGCCAGGCTGGGAGGGTGGGGGCCCAGGAGCTCAGCAGGAAGGTTGCCCAGAGGAGGTGACTCAGAAACCTGGGCCTGAGTGAGGAGCAGGGGTGGCAGACCGGTCGGAGCAGAGCAAGTGCCGGGGGAGGGGAGGAGGAGCGTGTCCGGACAGCCAGCGACGGAGTGTGTGTGAGGCCAGAAAATGAGTCCCACCCGACGCACCTTGTGGTGTGTGTGGGTCAGTGTCGATGAGTCACAGTGTTTGTTTGCTTTTTCCTTCAGTTTAGATGCTCTTTACTGGCAGGTGTTGAGAGTGCAAAATAGTAACACATCCAGAGGGATGGAAAAGGAGGTGGGCATGGCTCCCACCCACCAAGTGAGGACCCTGTAACCAGGCCAGTGGGGAGGGAGCATTTGACTGTGGCCAGTTTGGGCCCAGAACTTTCCAAGGAACAAGGTCCCTGGCAGGTGGGCTCCTCACAACACAGGGAAAGAGCACAACACTTTGGAAGGGGCACGGGTAGGTCCTGCCCAGGCTGCTTGGCCCCTGTCCACTGCACACCTAGACCCCTCAAGAGGAAGGTGTCACAGCTTGGGTGGATGTGCAGGTGAATGAGTGTGGGGGCTGTGAGTGTGAATATGTATGAGTGTGAGAGTATGTGGGTTCATGAGTGTGAGGATGTGACAGGCATGAGTGTGTGTGAGCTTGTGTAGGTGTGAGAGTGGGTGTGTGATCGTATGAGTGAGTGTAAGAGTGTGAGCAACTCTGTGAATGTGTGGGGACATGTCAGTGTGAGTGAGTGAATGTGTGAGCATATGAGTGAATGTGTGTGTGGGTGTGTGGAGGGTGGGTGGGGTGCTCTGGAAGACTGAGGGGGGCCGAAGCCGGGCCATGGGTGGCCTTGTGGTGTGTATTCAGGAGTTTGACCTTTCCCCTCAGGACACCAGGAAGTAAGTGCTCCAAACCCCTGAAGTGAGAGCCTTGGAAAGTATCAGTGGAAAAAATGAGAGGGTTCCTGACTGGAAAGCAGCCTTCATGGCCCTGAGTGTCCAGCATTTGCCGAGTGGCCCCAAAGGCCCCCCAGCACAGCCCCGACCCGGCATAGAGACAGCTTGGGCACTACCCTGACTAGAAAACTCCCCGTTTTCTCTGACTTCTGTTCCTTGGTTGAACCCCACTCTGGATCGACATCCCTCACACTGTGAAAGGACATCATAGGTGCAACAAATACCTCCTCACGGCTGGAACGTTGCTCCAAACGTGCACGGCGTTCCGGGGGACTCTGCCACAGACATCCTGGATGGTCACGGGGTCGGTCTGAGGAGTAACATGGCTGCGGATGAGCTTGGCTAGATAACAGCCTCCCCCTCCTCCCCCGCCCCATAGCTCCCACAGGTCTCAGCCAAAGACAGACCCTCCCTGGCCCTCAGAATACAGTTAAGAGACTGGTTCTAGGCTGACGGTGTCACATCAGCTCATTGGCCCTGCCTACACGCCAGTATTATAAATCACCTCAGGAGAAAAAAAGCCCACATAGCATTTTAAAACTATGAACCTATAGGTTTTCCATTCCCACATGGCATGTTGCCCAGTCAGTTCCCACCCACAGCATTGGTCCCTCCTGCGTGGAGGCGGTTCCCGCACAGGATAAAGAAGGCCTTGATCTTCCAGGGTCAAACAAGGTACTTTGTCTCAGGGAGATAAGAGGCTTAGCAGCAGAGAGAAGGTTTTCCAAAGTGCAAATGCTTCACTGTGCTTGTCAGGAGCCAAGTGGCTGCCTAGAATCCTGGAATCACAGTCACTCTAGAAGCCACTGGAATGAAAGTGGGAGAGGCAGGAGGGATCTCCCCCCATGGGAGGGGGGGCCAAAGAAGGGAGAAAGACATGGAGGAGGAATGGGCAAGAGGTCACCTGGTCCCTGACACCCAAACACTCAGGGGCCTTCACTCCATGTGACGGGTAATTTTACATGTCAACTGGGCTAGGCTAAGGTTCCCAGTGGTTTGGCCAAACACTGTACTAGCTGCTGTTCCATAATGTAATTAATGTACTCACCTTCCACAATGTAATATAATGTAATCCTCTTCCATAATGTAATAGAATGTAATCAATCAATCAGTTGAAAAGGGAGTTTCCTTAGGGTGTGTTCTGCCTTCAGGCTATAAATAGATATTTTGGCAGCACTTGATCTCTGTCTCCACTCTGCACTCTTCCTGTTACCTGACCTACAGATCTTGGGACGAAAGTCTACAGGTCTCTCTACCCTGCCATCTGACCTATAGATTTTGGACTTGCCAGCTCCCACAGTTTCGTGAGCCTATCTCTATGTGTGTGTGTGTGTGTGTGTGTGTGTGTATCCCCTACTGGTTCTGTTTCCATAGAGAACCCTGACTAAAACACTCTGCTGCCCCAGACTTGGGGAGCCAGCAGAAAAGGGCCCACGTGGACCAGCCTGAGCTCTACCGCCCGGGACACACCAGCCTCCTCCTTCGTCCAGCCCCTTGCTAGGAGTGTGGAGGGCCCTGGAGAGACAGACCAGGGAGGATTAAATACGAGATGTGCCATCAAGTCACAGGGACTGAAAGAGATGCTACCTATACTCGGCGTATTTTGATTTTTTCCCACCATTGGTGAGACGGGGGTTCCACAGCAAGATGAGAGCCATTACCGAAAACATAGGAAGTTTCACTTTTTGCCCACTTCTGATCTGGGATGGACTGATTTCGATCTGCCAAACACTGGTGCGCAAAACAATCAAAAGCCAGTATTTTTGGTGTCCTCTCCATTTGCTAATAGCTGCTGCCCAGGTTTGGAAGTGTTTTCTGCTTGGACCCACATGATTTATTATCTGTGGGTTTCTGTTAAGCAGAGCACCTGACAAACCTGATCCCAACAGCTGTTATGTGGCATTCTGTGGGCGTAAAAAACCTTTCTGGATTTCCCAATGGAAGGAAATAACCACAGACCCAGAGGAAAGTGAAGGCATACTGAGGTCATTTTGCTCAACTTGATGAAAGTGATTTTTAAAACTTTAATTAAATGGACTATATACTACGGAAACATAACTTAACAAAAGGGGCCTCAAAAAAGATAGAAAATGGAGGAAAACCAAAGACACAAGGGAAAGATTAGTCCAAAGGACTAATGGACCACAGCTACCAAGGCCTCCACCAGACTGAGTCCGGTACACTAGATGGTGCCCGGCTACCACTACCGACTGCTCTGACAGGGATCACAATAGACGGTCCCGGACAGAGCTGGAGAAAAATGTAGAACAAAATTCTAACTTACAAAAAAAAGACCAGACTTACTGGCCTGACAGAGACTGGAGAAATCCCGAGAGTATGGCCGCCACACACCCTTTTAGCTCAGTAATGAAGTCACTCCCGAGGTTCACCCTTCAGTCAAAGATTAGGCAGGCCCATAAAACAAAACGAGACTAAAGGGGCACACCTACCCAAAAATCCTAAATGAAATATATTTCAACAGAATTTGGCAATACACTAAAAGACTAATGTATGACTAATGTATAATGTATGACTAAGTTGTTTTTCTTTTTCCCCCAGGGATACAAAGATGATTCATTACTAGGAAATCTCTTAGTATATTCTATCTTATTAGTATAAAAAAAGAGGAAAATTATCTGATTATACTCATAGACATCAGAAAGGACATTCGACAAAATCCAACAGCTGTTACTGATAGAAATGCTAAGAAAATCAGGATCAGCGAAAACTTCCATCACATAATAAAATATATTTTATGAAAGTAAAATTCTGCTGAAGATAATTAAACTACAGTTGTAGCAATACATTGACAGGGAACTGCCAGAAATTCAAGCTGGATTCAAAAGAGGACGTGGAACTAGGAATATCATTGCTGATGTCAGATGGATCCTGGCTGAAAGCGGAGAATACCAGAAAGATGTCTACCTGTGTTTTTTGACTATGCAAAGGCATTCGACTGTGTGGATCATATCAAATTATGGATAACGTTGTAAAAAATGGGAATTCTGGAACACTTAATTGTGCTCATGTGGAACCTGTACATAGACCAACAGATAGTCGTTCAACAGAACAAGAGAATACTGCGTGGTTTAAAATCAGGAAAGTTGTGTGTCAGGGCTGTAGCTTTTCACCATACTTATTCAGTTTGTATGCTGAGCAAATAATCTGGGGAGCTGGACTATCTGAAGAAGAACGGGGCATCAGGATTGATGGAAGATTCACTAACAACCTGAGATATGCAGATGACACAACCTTGCTTGCTAAAAGTGAAAAGGACTTGAAGCACTTACTGGTGAAGATCCAAGACTACAGCTTTCAGTATGAATTACACTTCAACATAAAAGAAAAAGAAAAATCCTCACAACTGAACCAATAAGCAACATCATGATAAACAGAGAAGATTGAAGTTGTGAAGGATTTCATTTTACTTGGATCCATAATCAAGGCCCATAGAAGCAGCAGTCAAGAAATCAAACAACACGTTGCATTGGGCAAATCCACTGCCAAAGACCTCTTTAAAGTGTTGAAAAGCAAAGATGTCACTTTGAGAACTACGGTGCACCTGACCCAAGCCATAGTATTTTCAGTTGCCTCCTATGCAGGTGAAAGCTGTACAATAAATAAGGAAGACTGAAGAAGAATTGATGCCTTTGAATTATGGAGTTGGCAAAGAATATTGAATACACCATGGACTGCCAGAAGAAGGAACAAATCTGTCTTGGAAGAGGTACAGCCAGAATGTTCCTTAGAAGCAAGGACAGCGAAACTTTGTCTCACGTACTTTGGACATGTTATCAGGAAGGGATCAATCCCTGGAGAAGGACATCATGCTTGGTAAAGGAGAGGGTCAGCAAAAAAGAGGAAGACCCTCAATGAGATGGACTGACGCAGTGGCTACAATAGTGGGCTCAAGCATAGCCATGATTATGAGGATGGTGCAGGACTAAGCAGTGTTTCGTTCTATTATACACAGGGTCGCTATGAGTCAGAACTGACTCGACACACCTCACAACTAATAACAACAAACCAAAAAATCAGTTTCTGCAGAGTCAGCTCCAACTAATGGTGACCCCACATGTGTCAGAGTAGAGCTGTGCTCCACAGGGTTTTCAGTGGCTGATTTTTTGGAAGTAGATTGCCAAGCCTTTCTTCCGAGGCACCTCTGGGGGGACTTGAACCTCCAACATTTTGGTTAGCAGCTGAGTGTTTAACCATTTGCACCACCCAGGGGCTCCTAAAATATCTCTACCTCAGCTTAAAAGTTTAATGTAGAAACACTAGAAATATTCCCATAAAGTCAGCAACAAGACAGGAATGTGCCCTGCCACAACTGTGATTAAACAGCGTTGTAGAAGTACTAACCAAAGCCCTCAGGCAAGAAAAGGTATTTGAGGTATAAAATTAGAAAAGGTATTTGCAGATGATATGATCAAATACATAGGAAGTCCAACAGAATCGACTGAAAATGACTCCACTCGGTAAGGATACCCAACAAGGAAGCAGGAACATTCAATAAAGAAGTAAGAAGAACATTAATGTGGAGGAATCAATAGTTTTGTGCCTACAAGTCACAGCTAGTTAGATGATAAAATAGAAGAGCCCACTTGCCATAGGAGAGGAAAAAAAGAAAGGTAAATTACTTGGGAATAAACTTGATAAGAAGTGTATGAGAGAGTTTATGATGCATTCCACGGGCAGGACGGAGGGGAAGTGGCCCCCTCATCCTCTCCTGGTGGGATTGTGAGTCGGGAAACCCCATATGGAAGGCAGTTTGGCAATATCTGTGACAATTACAAATACATTTACCCCTTGACCCAGCCATCTCATTTCTGGAATTTATCCTACAGATAATTCCCATACAAGTTTCTTTATCATAGTATTAAGTGTAAGAGGAAAAGGGTAGAAATAGCCCAATTCTCCATCAATAAGGAACAGGTTAAATACATTTTTAATGTCCATATGTAAGAAAACTATATAAAGTAAAATAAAATACACACACACACACACACACACACACACTCACACTTAAACCAAAGAATGAGAAAGGTACTTTTTCCAGTGGAAAGATTTCCAAGGTAATGGTTAAATGACAAAAAGCAAGGTGCAGAATGGTGTGTGTACTCAGATTTGCTTGCATTTGCACAAACTGTGGAAGGACAACCAAGAAACTAGAAAGTAGGGCGGTGGGAGAGAGAGACATGGGGGCCAGGGGAAGGGAGGCGTTTGCTGTAAACTTTTAAATGTTTGTTAAATGTTGGAACAATGTGGATGTGGTAGATACACTCTGAAAGCAGAGAACATCCGTCTGGGACAGGGGAGTCCCACGTGGGGGGCCAGGAAGGGCCCCGGGACCCAAGTCAGCCCTGGATGGAAAGGTTTGCTGAGTCCAAAAGTGGCTGCTCTGATAACCAGGATACAGCTACACGGAGGGCAAAAAGCAGGCTGTGGTGCTCCAAAGTGTATGTGTGCGTGAAAGTGTGTGCATGTGTGTGCGTGTGAGTGTGGTGTGAATGTATGTGAATGTGTATTGTGGGGGGGGTGTTGGGGTGCGTATGTGTGTGTGTGGTGTGTGTGTGAATGTGTATGCGAATGCGTATTGTGTGTGGTGTGTATGTGTGTGAGTGTGTGTGTGCTGTGTGAATGTGTGTGAACGTGTATCGTGTGTGGTATGTAGGTGTGTGAGTGCATATGTGTGTTAGTGTGGTGTGCACACATGTGCATGTGTGAAGACAGAGAGGCCGGGCTCGGGGGGAAGGAGATGAGCCATATTTCGAGGGCACAGTGTGATGTGGGGGGGCCGCGTCCCGAGAGGCCCGAGTGGGTCTGTGCCTCAGCCCTGGGGCCGGATGTCTCATGGTGGAGAGACACTTCCATGAGGCGTGGGATCAGAGTGGCCCCTGCTGTACCCCCCAGACAACCCCCCTGCACGCACCTCCAGGAAGCGGGATGCCACAAGCCGGTCCTCCACGGTCAGCACCAGGTTGTCCACAAACATCCAGAAGAAGGGCCGCTTGCTGCCCGGCCTGGGCCGCGCGTACTGCAGTACACGGTGAAACTGGAACAGATACCATCCTGCGGGGGGGGGGGGCCGTGGCACGGGTGGGCAGGCTGCCTAATGTGTGAGGGGCACGGGGTGTCAGGGGAGGGGCGTGAGGGGCCCCAACGGTGTCCACTCCCACCTGCCCCGTAGCTCTGACCCCACCAGCAGCCATCGGCACAGTCTCCACCCTCAGACCTCGGAGCACAGACAGCCGCACACCCAGTGAGAGGAGAAGACCACCAGTTGCTGTTCAGCCGACTCCAACTCACCGTGACCCCATGAGTGTCAAACAGAACTGTGCCCCGTGGGGTTTTCAGTGACTGATTTTTGGAAGTAAATCACCAGGATTTTCTTTCAAGGAGCCTCTGGGTGGACTTGAACCTCCAACCTTTCGATTAGCAGCCGAGCACGTTAGCCATTTACACCACCCAGGGACTCCTTAAGACATGACGGGGGCAGTTCAGACAACTCAGACGCAGACAAGGGCAAGGCAGTCAGACTACGCGAGTACCACTGGGCTTGGACACAGATCATTCCCTTTAAACCCAGCTCTGGGGAACACAGCCCTCTACAGTGACAGAAATGCATCTGTGGCTGCCTGAGAGGGGTCTCTGGAGGAGGGGTGGCAGGGATAACAAAGGGACATGAGGAAGCCTTTGGGGGTGACGATACACTCATGCTGTAGATCACAGGGATGGTTTCATGGGAGAATGCATATTGTGAAAACTCACCCAGTTGGGCAATATGATGTATGTGCAATTTATCGCAGGCCAATTATTCCTCAATGAAGCTATTTTTCCAAGGCAGACATTTGCCATTCCTACCTCCCCAGGAGAGAGCCAGAGGTGGCCCAGAGGAGGGTGGGTGGAAGGAGAGTAGGCAGAGGGCTCAGGGGTGACTGAGCCGACCACAGTCTGTGTGTGTCTTACCAGGAGGTCGCTCCAAGGCGTGGCCGAAAGGTGGTGTTGAGCCATACACGAGGTCGAAAGGACCCCACTCTTCCACCTGCAAGACACGGGCACTGGAGAAGGCTGTAGACACGTTCTCACCTTAACAGGTGGCTCATGAGTGCCAAGGGCAAGCGTTTCTCCTGGCGAAAAAACACTGGGCACACAGGGCTGCCTGCTCGGCTTGCGAGACCTGTGCCATCCAGAACCCAAGTCTTCACAGCAGTAACAGACACCAGGTCAGACCTGCCATGAGCATGTCTGGCACCACCACATTACCTGTGGTTGAGTCATGGCCACCTGGGAGGCCGGTCCTCTGAGAGGCCTCCTCCATACAGCAAGCGTTGTCTGAGATTACTCCTCATGCTAAGCATTGCCCTTCAAAGATCTTCTCCTGGGAGGGTAACACATGGGGCCCTGAAGGTTCAAGTGAATTTTGTATATGTTGTCTGTGCTGTCCATTGTGTGTGTTATCCATTGTATATGTTGTCCACTGTGTGGTTGTCCACTGTGTATGTTGTCTGTTGTGTGTGGTTGTCCATTGTGTACGTCATCTGTTGTGTGGCTGCACGTGATGTGTGTTGCCTGTGTGTAGGCTATATCTGGAAAAAGAAGAGACCTGCCCGGCAGCTAGTAGCTGGATGCTCCCTGTTGAACATAAAATAATCCCACACAACGTCAGTAACCAACCACTCCATGATCATGGAGGAAGAAGACAAGACCACTCCATAATCACATCTGAACATCGACAAGATAAGGACACTCTTCAACCACAGGAGTGACTCAAGATCCCCTCTCAGGGTGACATGTGGGACTTCTACTTCTTTATCTACAATGACGTCAGCCGGCATCCTAGATCAGAATTAATAAGATACCTCAAATACCACACTCCACCATTTCCTAACAGCACTTGATCCACAACAGACCCCTTGGGCCCTCTCCTAAGTCACTTCACAAAAGCCCAAATCCTATAAGCTCCAACCACATCTCCCTTCCAGAGCCTCTGAATGGTTCTTGAGCATGATCTCCCATGTTGCAGCAAGCTGATACAACTGTATGTGACTGCAGGTGTGTGCCTTGTGGTCTTGGGGCACTTGGGGCAGGGATCTGGACAGAAGGGAAAGGAAGGGAGAGTGGGTGGTGGTCCAAGATGAACACACCTACCAATCTACACGCAGGCAGGGGCTGTCTGTGCGTTATCTATGGGCCTAGCTAGCACAAGCTGTGAATGAAGCGGGTCCCCCTGCTGCGTGGAAAAGCAGAAGGAAACCAGTGTCTTGAAGGAACATCCATCTCTCCCCGAGCCAACTGGCCCGGTCAGAAGAAGAACTTGTTTTAAATACCCCTGCAAGCTGCAGCCAAGTGTGGGGTCGGGGGCCGTGCAGGTGTCGGGGAGTGGGTGAGAGCCCAGCCTTGGGAGTGGGTGTGCAGAGGGTCCTGGCCCAGGTGTGCCCTCTGTATTCCCATCTCTATGATGAGGTGGTGTCACCATCATCATCATCATGTCCGTTTCACAGGGTGTGGGGTTAAACAGGTGAGGTCATGTGTGGCAGTTCTGGAAGATTTAACTGGCCCCACGAGCCTGAACCATCATTGCTAAGAGAAAGCTCATTACCAGGGGAGCAGGTTCTAGGAGTCTTAGCTTGTTGTACGCGAGAATGGCTTCTGTGTCTGATAGTTTTCTGCAGGCATGCTAAGATTAAAGCCCACAGAGGCTTTCTATCCACTGTCATGGCCCCATCTTGAATGTCCTACCCCTTCAAGGGAGGGTGACTCTGTGGGTGATCCCCTACAGGCAGGGGCAGAGACCAGAAAGGCCCCATGGTGGGAGGTCTAAAGGGACACGGGTGGGGTAGGGGTGGGAGCTTGGGTGTGGCCCACATGGATGAAGCTCAGTGCTGTGAGGCTGTGGTCCCAGAGCCGTGTGGGGCATGCCTTCCCACATAGATAGACCTGTCCTGGGCATCAGGGTGGGGGGGACGTATGTACAGTGGAGCCTGGGCCTCTAGAGGCACAGCTGGAGAGGCGGGTGAGCCCCCAGAGACAGCCTCCCAGGCCAGACGGGGGCAGGGCCGGGAGGCTCTGGCAGGCCCCTGGAGGTAGGCAGACCCTTTAGCTAGGCCTCTTTCCTGGCTGCGGCCCCCCCTTCCTGGCTGCGTTCCCCACTGCTCCCCAGCCCCTCTGCTCTCCAGCCCTTCTCAGCCCCCTGCTCCCCAGCCCCTCTGTTCTCCAGCCCGTCCCAGCCCCCTGCTCCCCAGCCCCGCTGCTGTCCAGTCTCCCTGCTACCCAGCCCCTGGGCTCTCCTAGACCTTCTGCCCCCCCAAACCTTCTACTCCCCTGCCCCCTGGCCCCTGTGTCTCCCCCGACCCCCTTGCCCCCGGGTTCCATGCCCCCTGGCCCCACAGCCCGTCTGCCTCCCCAGGCCTCCCTGCCTCGCCTGCCTCCCCAACCCCCTAACCCGGGTCATTTATCTCTCATGAGCCCTGTCATCTTGTCCCCTCGCCCCAGGGACCTGGACTTTCCTTCTCTCTGTCCTGTCCACCGGCACAAGGCACATGAGAGAGAGGACCTTCCTGGTCCCAGCACTGCCTTTTGAAGGCCTCCTGACCCTCTCCCTTCTGGGCCCGTGAGAGGCCTGGTCCTTCCGCCATCATGGCCAAGGCCTCCCTGCTCAGGACCTGACATGTGAAATGGGCGCTGGTGGGTTCTGTCAGGCACTTCTATGAGCCCTCCAACCGGGCAGCAGGAGATGACCCTCTGAGGGGCGGAGAGCAAGCACGTTCTTTGTACACATCTGGGATCCCAGCCAAGAGGCCAGAGAAGAAAGTGCATCACTGGGACTGCATCACTTCCTTTTCCCGTCAGAGGAGGTTCTCAAGTTAGCAGCTGTCCCTTTGAAGACTTGGCATTTTGTGTTAGAGGAAGGAGAGGGGGTGTAATCCCCCATGGCTGGGCAGCCCCCCATTATAAAAACCAGCTGCCGTGCAAGCTGTAATGGACTCATGCTGACCCGTGGGTGGTGGAGATGGGATGCCATGCCAAGATGTTGGATGAGGCAGTCTGCCCAGCTACTGCCTGCCCTGGGCTGGGGCGGGGTGGGGACCGTAAGAACGTGTGCCCTGACTTCCTACCACAGGGCATCCTTAGTGACTGCCCAGCACTGCCGCTCTGGGACAATCGCCATGTTGGCGCCAAGCCACAAGTCCAGTACTGATCCCAGTCAATGGCTGTGCTGCAGGGAACTCATTCCCAGGACTCTCTCAGGGGGCACTGCTCAAGGACCCCACGCTTGGCCCTGGAGCTGTGCTGCATCCAGCCCCTCCTCCCTCCCTTCACCTGCCCTCCCCCCCTTTCCCGGTGGTTTCCACCAGTGAGTCTCTTGTATACCCAGCTGCATCCTGGCGTCTGACTCAGCATGGACAGCACTTACATCCCTCCTCACTATGTTGGTGACGTCATCCAGGTGCTTCAGTTGTCCGTGATCAGAACCACCTTCCAAAAAGCCCAAGCTTGCGAGCTCTGGATGGGGAGAAACAGAGACATGAGGAGGCTAATGCTAACTTTGACCCTAAACCAAGAAAACCAAACTCATTGCCGTGGAGTCGATTCGGACTCATAGCAACCCTATAGAACAGAGTAGTAGCACTGCCCCATAGGGTTTCCAAGGCTGTAAATCTTTACAGAAGCAGACTGCCACATCTGTCTCCCAGCAACTTTGACCCTATGGGGAATAACAGAGGGCAGTGATTCATCGGGAGGATGCGGACTTGAAATCCCTCTGGAGCACAGTTCTACTCTGCACACGTGGGGTTGCCATGAGTTGGAATCGACTCAAAGGCAACTAACAACAACAACGAGACAACCTGCTATTAAATGAGCAAACTTTACTTTGTTAATGGCATGGTGAGGGGACGAAGCCTGTCACTTTGTTAGTGAAACAAGCAAACTTCACTGAGTATCGAATTTTCAAAGTCAATCTTACTGATTACGAGGAGTCCCTGGGTAGTGTAATGGTTAATGTGTTCAGCTGCTAACTGAAAGGTTGGTGGTTCCAGTCCACCCGGAGATGTCCTTGGAAGCAAGTTCTGGCAATCTACTTCTGAAAAATCAGCCATTGAAAACCCTGTGGAGCACAGTTCTACTCTGACACCCATGGGGTTGCCGTGAGTTGGAATTGACTCGACAGCAGCCAATGACAACAACAACATTGATTGCAATGGGTCACTGGTGGTTCAGTGGTAAAATTCTCACCTCCCATACAGGGGACCCAGGTTCGATTCCCAGCCAATGCATCTCATCTGCAGCCACCACCTTCCTGTCAGTGGAGGCTTGCACGTGGCTATGATGCTGAACAGGTTTCAGCAGAGCTTCCAGACTAAGATGAACTATGAAGAAAGGCCTAGAAATCTACTTCTAAAAATCAGCCAGTGAAAACCCTACGGATCACAATGGTCCAATCCCCAATCGATCGTGGGGGTGGTGCCAGACCAGGCAGCATTCTGTTCTGTTATGCATGGAGTTGCATGACTTGGGCGCCAACTCCATGGTGACCGACAACAACAGCATTGACTGTGAAGCCAGGTACTCCTGGGCTGCAATGTTACTCGGTGTGTTAGGAAATGCGCTGGGCAGTGGGATCCATATAGATGTCCCCAAGCAGGCTGTGTGACAGGCAGGGGTGGGCTATGGGAGACAAAGGTCATAGTCTTAGAGGAAGCCATGGCTGAGGAACGGGAAGGCATCTAGACACAGGCCTTACAAAATGGACTCAGAGAAGCATCATCTCGGATGGGGAGACAAAGGCCATGGCAGCCATGTGGCCCTGATCACTACTTGTTCCTTCAGCCCCACCACCCAGCAGCGTGACCCTGGATGAGTGGTACCCTCTCTGTCTGTAATATGAGGATACCCAAAAACCAAACCCATTGCCCTCAGGTCGATTCCAACTCAGCGACCCTACAGGACACAGTAGAACTGCCCCATACAGTTTCCAAGGAGCGACTGGTGGATTTGAAAGGCCCACCTTTTGGTTAGCAGCCGAGCTCTTAACCACTGTGCCACCAGGGCTCCAAGGCGAGTAGTATTGTGAGGATAATACTACTAATAGTATCTATTGTGTGGGGTTGTTGTGCAGACTTGACCCAGAGCACTTAGCCAGTGTTCAGAGTGGGAGATATCCCCCGACTTGATTTGGTCAGAGACTAAGGAGTGTCCTGTTGGATTCTTCTTGTTCCTGTTGGACCCAGAAGAACAGATGGGTGTTGGGGGTTGATTTGTGTGCCCCAAAAGACATGCTGAAGTTCTAACTATCCTGCATCTGTGAACGTGACCTTGTTTGGAAATAGGGCCTTCGAAGATGTCATTGGTTAACATGAGGTCATCCTGGAGCAGGGTGGGTCTTATATGACTGGTGTTCTTATAAAAGAGGAGAGACAGAGACAGACACACAGGGAGAACATCACGTGAAGAAAGAGGCAGAGATGGGAGTGATACCTCTCTAAGTCAAGGAACACCCTGGAGCCACCAGGAGCCGGAATAAAGACCTGGTATCTGCTCATGTAAAGATTACAGCCTAGAAAACCCTAAGGAGCAGTTCTACTCTGTCACATGGGGTCGCTATCGACAGCCCCTAACAACAACAACTCCTGGGGAGTGTGAGCTCAGGACAGTTGGTCACAGACTGAGGACTGTCCCCCAGGAATGTCACCCCTCTGTCTAGCCTGGGTGACAGGGCCAGGTGTACATTAAACCCACCTCTCTAGGCTTGCCTTCCAGATCCCCCACTGCCCCCTCCTTGGCCTCCTTCCTCCTGAAGATGACCTTCCAGCCGTCTTCTTGCAGTGCCCCTTGAATGACATCCCCTCTGCTCCTCGTCGCCCATCTTGGCTCAGGATTCTCCCGAACGCCCCAGCCCCGCCAACCCTCTTAGTCACATGGCGTTTCCACTCAGTGTGTTGTTATAAATACAGTTTTCGGTCCCTCGGTTTCCGCAGGGGCCTTGTCTCCCCAGCTCAGGGAGGGGCTCTGGGAACAGGGATACCAGGGCCCCTTTTTCTTACCTCCCGACCCCAGACGCCCTGAAGACTCACCTTCCCGGATGTCTCCAAAAAGGGACAGCACCCGGACAGGCTCTCTTTTCCATGCAGGTACAGTCTTATAAATTTCAAAAGGACTCTCCTGTTTATTAAGGAAGAAAAGAGGGTGTTTTGCCGACCACTTGGTTACAGTGAAACCTCTGGTCCAGCAGAGGTGCTCCCCTTGAGAAGCCGAGACACACCTGCCTGTGGGGCCACCCCCTGAAGGCTGGCTGTGCCCACTCCTGGGCCGGTTCTAACAGTAACACAGCAGAAGAGCAGGGTGTGTGTGGGAGGGGTGTTTTCTGATTTTAAGGGAAGATAATGCTACCCCCAGAGGAAATACTTCTTTATCATTCTTAAGTTCTGAGGCTTAAATCTAGAAAATTTCAAATGTCCTGCTGCCATTAAAAAAAGAAAAGAAAAAAGAAGCCAAGCCCGTTGCTGTCAAATGCATTCTGACTCATAGCGACCCTATAGTACACAGTAGAACTGCCCCATAGAGTTTCCTGTGAGAAGCTGGTGGATTCGAACTGCCAACCTTCTGCTCAGCAGCCAAGCTCTTAAGCACTGCACCACCAGGGCCCCACTGCCATGGGGGTTTGCTAATTCATCGTATCTGCCTTCCAGGCACTGGCTTCCCCACCCAGGACGCTGGGCCACGTCCCAGCCGGCTGCCTGAGCTTTCACTGATCTCAAAATGTGGCCCACAGCCAGCCACCTGGCGCCTCCCAAAGCTGCCAGCGGTGAGGCGTTCACTGGCCAAGGGCGCGGGAGGGATCCCATTGGCCATCCACACTGCAGTGACCTGTGTACACCAAGGGCTGATGCCCTGAATTCAGCCACAAAGGAGCCCCACTGAGAACAAACAACACCTCACAATCTCCGGTGGAACAACACCCCAGTCCTCCCAGCCTCTCCTTTTGAGACGCCAGCACCTCGGACAGACCCAGGGTGAATTTGCTCCTAAAACAGGCCTTGATCAGGCCCCCCAAAGATGACGAGGAACCAGGAGGTCACATTTGGGGGACGCCTGGCTCCTGAAAACGCAGGGCATAGTGCCACCAACTATAACAAACACCAGGCCTGAATGGGGGCGCTTGCCAGCAAGGGGGCTCACAGGAGACCCCAGATCACCCGTGGAAGGATGAGCAGGTGGGACAGGACACCCAGATGCAGGAAAACAGACAAGAACGAGCCGGGAGCTTGGGAAGGGCAGGGCGTCTGAGCTGTCAGAGCAGATGAAAGAGGTGAGGGTTTCGAGGGGGGTGGACTTGTAGGGTTTATACAGGTTACACTGGTGCAATGCTGGTGGCTGGGGTGGACCTTTTGGGGAAGGAAAGATGGTGGGAACTCATGTCTTGGTTCTTTAGAGCTCAAAGTCAGGTGGCTTCTCCCCTACCTGAGCGCCATTCACTGAGTTGTATTTAACATGCTTTTTTTATTGTGCTTTAAGTGAAAGTTTACAGTTCGAGTTAGTTTCTCGTACAAAAATTTATACACGTATTGTTATGTGACCCTAGTTGCTCGCCCTATAGTGTGACAACACACTCCTCCTTTCCACCCCAGATTTCCCGTGTCCATTCAACCGGCTCCTGACCCTTTCTGCCTTCTCATCTCGCCTCTGGAC